CTCTCTCTCTCTCTCTCTCACACACACACACACACACACACACACACACACACAGAGGTTGCCCAAAAAAACCGAAACGCCCCCTTCCCCCCCCCCCTTTTCTTCAATGCGCTGGGGTCGCCCGATGGCCAACCAGGCGGGACAAGCAGCCAGGCGGCCCAACCCCCCCCGGGGCGACGACCAGGTCGCCGGGCCGCCCAGGGACCAGCGTAGACTCTAAGTACTATGAAGGTCTAGAACACTCGCATCTCCTAAGTGACAATAGATGAATGGGACACTGGACCCAGTTTCCAGCTAGATGTAGCCAGCCAAAGACCTCGTTATTCCGGCCTGGAACAGGGAGGGATTCCCAGCCTTCAGAAGAAGAAAAAGGAAGAAATGTGGCACATTATCTAGGCAAATGATAGGCTGGTGCAGCAAAGGATACAATGCTCTAGGTCAGAACGCAATCCAGGCAGTGATCAGCTGAGAGAAGCATAGCTTTTCTAAGTCTCGAGTTTATTAGTGAACCAACTTCAAGAGCAGCGTAGCATTAGGAGATACCGAGCAGCAAGGGTAACAGTAGCATCAAGCTAACTTAGGCAGGGGTGAGGCCCTGGCGAGGTACATCCTTCCAGACTGGAAATAATGAATGCCATCCCTCAGGTCTCCCAGCCATTATGGGGAGAAGCGTCTTCGAGTGTGCTGTAACCTGTATTTCTGACTTGTCGGTGGAATAGGAACCGGACTGACGCTCCCCAGGAAAAGAAAAAAAGTCCGGAACCTGAAAAAAAAAGAAGAAGGTACTATGACGGTTGCAGCCCACATATAAAGCTACTCAGATCTTACCAGTTCTGAGGAGTATGAGCAACTCATCTCCCTCCCCTAGTTCTTGGGAGTCCTACCAGAACCGCACTCCCACTATCATAGATTTTTCCTCCTTGGCCATTGATCTTTGTAATAAACGACCAGAAAATAAGAATCCATGTAAGTGGGACTCTGCAGCAGGTCATTCCAAGACCAAAAGGTCCATCCACTCAAAGTTGACGGATACATAATCTGGTTCACGACTGCTCACAAGAAACCCCTCACCTTCTAGCGACTACATCCCTTGGCGCCAGCTCCTTCCGAGGGTCATACTCCAGCATGAATCGCTCCCCATCCTACACAAAATGCAAAGACAAGAATAAAGAAAATAAATCATTGCGGAAAGTTACATGGAACACCGAAAAAAAAAAGCTTGAAAAATGCAATTCCTGAAAGGCATTCAACCGAGATAGTCAACTCGAAATATAACGCTGCGCTCATCTCTTCGGCACATGAAAACAAAAAGGGAACGCCTTGACAAGCACTTTAGCCATTTACAAAAAAAAGAAAAAGGGAGATAAATTTGACGTACGACTAACCAAAAGATTCTACAAAAGAGTTCATTAGGCTTACATGATGGAAGCCTAATGAACGCCCAGAGTTTACCTCAAAATGTCATACTTTTTTCTTTCTTAATTTCTTAGCCAGTTTTTTCAAATGTAATGCCCCTTCGAACACAACGCCAGGCATTATATTCAAATAGAACGCCCAGGCGTTATAGTTGAATGTGGCATTTGGTAGAATGCCTTATATGGGGGGCAAGGGTGCTTTGGCTTGAAAAGTTGAAAACTATTTTGCCTTTTTATCTTCAAACTTCAAAGTGCAAACTTCAAACTAAGGCAATTCTGAAGTGATCCTCAGCCAAAAGTTGTTGGCATTGCAATTCCGCACAGCATATCTTTATAACATTTTTTTTTCCCCGGTTTCTTTTTTTCAAATTTTTTGCTTTTTCTTAGGCCGCACTGAAGTTGCTACCAATTTACTGAGTATAACACCCGCGTGTTGTAAACGGATAAAACGTGCGGTTGGCGTTATATTCATACATAAGTAGCATAATGCCCGGGCGTTATTTTTAGGTTGGGAACGTAGGACGGTAATACTTGGCCGGCATTATATTCATACATAACAGCCGGGCATGATTTTCAGGTATGGACAGTAATACTTCGCGATCACGGACAGAATCTCCTGACCAACATGCTACCCTTCGCCCAAAATAAAATTAGGCCCAAGTTGCCCCCAACCGTGTTAGCTTCTTGATCAGCCAGGGGAAAGCTGCAGAAACTTATCACACAATGCACACACACATCAATCACCTGACGAAGATATCACACTCGTCACCTAAGAGCCTAAGGTTATACTCACACTAGGACTTTGTGGACTTAATATGACACCAAACATGCCCAGGTACATTCATGAAAGCATGGAAGTAGGTGTGCTCTAACACTATCAGTACTTCAAAAACAACCCATGGAAATATCATTTCACTTCGAAAATAATGGCCCTGTTTTTGTTAAAAAAAAAGAAAAAAAGAAAAAAAAAAGAAAAAAAAAGAAAAAAAGAAAAAAAAAGAAAAAAAAAAGAAAAAAAGAAAGAGGAGCAGAAGCAACCTCAAATTCAGAAAACAACCTAGTAAGACATACATGCATCAGGCAACAACCATCTCCAAGATGATGGCCATCAGGTCCACCTGCTGGAGTTCATGCAATTTTTACTACGTGTTTCGTCGTGTTAGCCATAGCGCTCATTTTTTGAGCCTAATCAGCTGCTGCATTACTATTATCACTTTTGCATTGCAGCTGTCCCTGTTCAGGACTCTCAGACTCTCAGTGCCTACTTGTGATTTTATCATCTCCACCCTCCAATCACATATCTTCTTCCTCTCCTCCTCCTCCTCCCCCTTCTTCTTCTTCTTCTTCCTCTTTGTCTCCTTCTGCATCCTTCTCGACCTTCACTGCTCTTGGAGCAATAACGTCCTCACGATCCTGTTTTGGTCGATTTGTTTGGTTCTGCTGATCGTTATGTTTAAGACTATACAATAGGGTTTCTCTTGATTCTGCATTGTATTTTTTGCCGTTGCTAGAGGCATTGTCGTTCTCATTTGCGTGGCCTTTGGATTATCTTTAGGATCTCTGGTAGAAGTTGTTGATTGTTTTACTCTAATTGGTGAGTTCGGCGCTTGCAACGACAACGAAGGCAGCCATTAGAGGAAGGATAGTCCGTCCAGGCTTGAGCTATTTGAGTGTCACGACTGTATTGTCGTAATATCTAATTGCTCCACAGGTAGGCTGCATATCCCTTTTGCCATTTGGTTTTCCATCCAGAGGTTCCCATCAAGAAAAAAGCCGACACTGCCCCATCAAGAAAAAAGCCGACACTGCACCCGTGTATTGCTCAGCGTGCAACCGAGAACTTGTACACACCTCATGAAAAATGGCAGCTGTCATCCTACCCAGCTCATGCGAATGGAACAGTGGCAGAAATTCTGCACAATTGTTTTCTTTTTTGGGAAAAAACTATCGCTTGGACCAATGACAGTAGTAAACTCATCTGACGGGGATCTTTAAAACAGTCAGGTAACTTCTACCACTAAGAACAAGAACCAAACTTCATCTGCCATAATCAACAATGCTGTACATGTACCGAGGAGCTGATCTAGCGTTGAGCCCATCCTGGATGAAGCAATCAAGCCCTATGGATATGAGTCCCATTGCAATCGTTTGTCCCATTTACACAGGTGTCTCTTTTTTTTTTTTTTTTTTTTAAACAGGGCCTATGGCCCTGGATACACACGGTAAGTCCAAGAAAGGTCACAGGCCATCGTCATCTTTCAACATCATCATTATCGTCGTCATCTTTGAACATCATCATTATCGTCGTCATCTTTGAACATCATCATTATCGTCGTCATCGTAGTCCATCATCATCTTTCATCATGCATTGGTCACCACTCACCCGCCTACCTGGTTGTACAAAATCCCACCTGCACCACGAACAGCTTCCGTGATCAGGAATGCATTGTCGCGGGACTTGGGTGGATTAGGAAGCCCAGCATCAGCCAACGCTGTCGGGTGGAATTGGATGAATCTGCACAATATAACAAAAGGTTCAATACGAGATCAGCATTTCCACAACTTCGGACTCCTAAGCGCTCATACCATCCACCTAGCTGAGGAAGGATTATTTCTTGGGAACCTCAACAAGACATGCATTCGGTTACAAACACAAACTTGAAACTCCGTCTTTGACAAGAACTCCTTGGATCACAACACTCAGTTACTGTCAGTTTCCATTCCAACTTTCCAGTACACTGCTCACTTTCCATTCCAACTTTCGAGTACACTCTTCCCTCCCTGAGGGGTTTAGATTTCAGGGTTTAGGGTTTAGGGTTCATAGTTCAGGATTCCCTCCCTCCCCTCTTCAAAAACTCCCCAAGTTAATCACTGAATTATTGGCCTTGGCCACTCGTAGTACAACCAAGAGCTTGTGACCACTATCAAAATTGGGGATTATGAGCCCGGCGACTCTATACAAGATCATGGATTCAAAGCCTGACTGTGGGACACTCAACGCTATATTGTCTAAGCCTAACAATGAGACATTCAACTCTATTTGGGTTTCAAGCTTTTGATTCTTTGCATGCTAGTCAAAGATGAGCCCTGAAATCCTGGCCATACGGATGTACCGAATAACAAAACCCGGTCCATGTGACTGAATAGTACACCACCTGTTGACAAAAAAGACATGAGATAAGGAAAATGGCCAGGAAATACCTGGGCCGGTTGCATAGGCAGCCTGTTGCCCTTTTCGAGACAAAAAAAAAGAAGAAAAAGGAAAGGACTGCAGCCACTTAACTTTACATTCCTGTAGACTTTGACATCAACATTTGTTTGTTGGTCATGTTCTGGAAACCAGTTAAGACTGTTAAGACGATTGTGAAATGGAATCATTTCCAGTAGGGTTTATTGAACTGTATTCCCATGCAGGCCATGCTTCTCGCCTGAAAGGGAACTGCTAGATCACTTATGCCTTAACACTATTAAGCCACCAGTTCCCTGACGCTTCCCAATTTGGGGGCGGGGTACAGCCGTAAAGAGGGGAGGGGGGTGGGGGCTGGGAATTGGGCCTACTGGTAAAAGAGGGGAGCAAAGAAATGAAAAAAAAAAAAAAGCAAACATGTGCTCCCGCCAGATTTTGTTTTGCCATCTTAGAATTTCTTTTTCAGGGTCCCGTAATGATCAGCACCTGATCTTTTCTCTGTTTTTTTAACTTTTTATAAGTTTTAAACTTTTTTTGCGCATAATTCTGAGCACGAAAAATCGCCAAATGTGCACTTACATTTTTGTGCAGCAGTTCATAGGTCCCCTTGCACCGCAGGCGAGTCACCGGTATCATCAGTGGTATGTAAATTTCGATGCAGCGGGGGAACTGGTGGTTTAGGAATTCACACTTCACTTTTGCGTCTACTCTGCATAAAAGAACAAGCAGTTCATCGAGATGCATGTTGCACAACCCACAGCTGTTCTGATCTGTCGACGTATGTGATGCTTCCATCTGTCAATGCATTATATCACTGCATCATCTTCGTCTGCATTTCCATGGATGCCTTTCCTTTAGTTGAAGAACAAAGAGTCGTGTAAGGATTGTCTGCACACCTTGCGAATACGAAATCAACAAACTAAAATAGTTCATACTACTTCATAAGTTCATAATGCAAAGACTAAGGTTGGAACTTGGAGGTAAATCTTCACAGTAGTGTATATGCATACACATACACATGCAATGCACAAACAGGAAGTGCTTTCAAACTTACTCCATGTTCGAAACAACCGTGTGCGCTCTAAATGCCATCGCCAATCCATCCCCTGTTGCAACCTGGACAGAAAACAGGGACAATTTCCACATCAGATTAAAGTTTGCAGCAGCCCAAATTCCACATCAGGTCAAACCATCAAAGTGATCATGGGCCGGGAACGGATGCTGCCTTGTGCAGATCAAGTCTTTTGGATTGCTTAGTAACTTTTCAATTTTTCCCAAGGACTTCCCCCTTTTTGTCAGTGACAGACTTCAATCCACAGTGACAGACAGAAATGTCTGGCAAACATGCATGGACGGCCTTCAATCGGACTCGTCACCTCCCTCCACTCAGACCTGCAAGAGCTGCGTTCAAACGCCACAGCATCACTGCTGGCAACAAAAGAATCACTAAGCATTCAGATGGCCAGTGGCAACACCTGTAAAATTCAAACAAAGGTGGTTTATTCAGAAGCACACCTCAAAGCTATAGCACTGGCTAGATGACGACTGAGACAAACCAAAATGTTGTGAGAGCATCCGGTGTGGCTTTTCAGAGGGACCTACCAACTTAGTACCAAGTATAGTGAACACAAACTTACCCATCATCATGTCCCACCTCGTCAAAGAATCGTCTGCCCAACATAGTAATTCACAAAAAGCAAGGGGAGGAGGAGGGGGAGGAGGGAGGAAACAGGAGGAATAGGGTGCCAGTGGTATCTTGGGATCTAAAAATTTGTCAGATTCTCATCAGGTCATCAGGAGGGTGAACCTTCAACAGTCTGCAGAGTCCCCCCTTCTGATCTGACGGATTATCAAACTTCCAACGTTCAAACTTCAAAGCGACAAAGAAAATAAACTTTGGCAAATTTGCCTTGACTCCAGTTACAGGTTAGTTTGCCACCCCACCCCCAAAAAAAAACAATAAAAAAAGGTTGGTCCGGCTGACTCCGGCACCGCCCATTGCCCCAAAAGTCGTGAGCAATAACATCCAAGATTAGGCCCCACTCCAGTTACAGGTTAGTTTGGCACCCAAAAAAGCAAAAACAACAAAACAAAGGTCAGTCCGGCACCACCCACTGGCCCAAGACTCGTGAACAATAACATCCAAGATGAGGCCCCAACCACTGCCCTCTCTGGAATACCCATGAAGAAGCTCAAAGCAGAACCCAACTCTCAAGTTCCCCCCCCTCAGCCCCCACCTCCTTGCAACTCACGCACAGACTATAACACCACTGAAATTTAAACTCGTAAGAGTCCTGGTGGCAGACTCCAGTATGGGGTCGTAACCGGTTGGGACAGAGAAGTGGGGCAGAAGAAAGCGGCCAGCACACGGCTGTTTCATAAAGGCTTGGGAAAAGAAAACCCGGTCAACTGGGTCCATTTGCACAAGCCCAGAGCTGTATTTGAGTCAAGGGGGAGGGTTCGCTCAAAAACCCAACTCATGCAACCCAAGCTTGAATACTGCTGGAATCAGAAATATCAAATAACTCCGAATTACCAGGTGAAAGGATTCACGCTGCAGACACCCAGTCCCGGTCCCAAGGTCCCGACAAGTCCCAAGTCCCCGGGCTGTCCCATAGGGTAGGCCGTAGGGTCTAGAGGCCGAAGTGTCGTAGGTCGGTAGGTGTCGGTACCGAGGCGTCATAGGTCCGTAGGAGTCCGTCCGGTACCCGACAAGGAAAGTCCAGAAGCGTCCAGTTCAGTCCAACAGTCCCAAGTCCAATTTTGCAGCATGTCCCAGGAAAGTCCGGAAGCTACCGGACAGACAATTTTTTTGCAGCAGACAGGCCGCGGCCAACCGGTACCGGTCTGAAGCAGGTCAAGCCAGGCCAAGCCCAGCGAAGCCAGCTGCTACAGTGCAGCGGCTCATCACTTGTTCAGTTGCGAGATGCGGAAGCGCTGCTGCTGCTTGTGTGTTAAGGCAACTTGGGCACTGTGGTCCTGAAGACGAAGAGGGCGCGTGGGAGACACTCCATAGCTAGAGTAGAGATAGAGCAGGACGACGGCGGCCATAGCCACCAAGGTGTAAAGCTTACCTGAGTGGGTGCATCCAGGGTGACGGCCTAGGCTAGAGAGAGAGAGAGAGAGAGGGAGTGAGGCAGAGCGAGCCAAGTCAGAGAGAGAGAGAGAGAGAGAGAGGGAAGAGAGAAGCCATAGCTTCCACCTTATTGAGACCCGTCGTGTGTGTGTGGGTGTGCGGCAGAGCCGCTGGGAACAAACATTCTTGTATATTGATAATGATATTGGAGACGACATCTTCAAGAGTTGATTGAATCTCAACTTGGCTTCTCACGTGTGATCTCTCATGTGAATGTTCATTGATGTATGCGAGTTTGAACTTAACAAGTACTTGGCGCACTTCACAGGGGCCAGTAAGTTAGATCATGATACCTAATGGTCGTCACTCTTTCTTTAACAAAAACACAAACAAACAAACAGAAAAAACGCAAAAAGCCAAACAAATGACCAGGTCCTTATGGCCCTGGGTCCATATCCATCTGGGGAGCATCAGTCTGGTTCCTGTTCCAGCAGCAAGTCAAATATACAACAAGGACCCCTGACCTTGCACACAGTGAACAGGTCCTTATGGCCCAAGGTCCTTATGGCCCTCACGCCTCCTCACGTTTGACCGAAGGACCCCTGACCAGCATTGATTGCTCCAGATGCCTGGAGGCCTTGAGGATTGACTGTCAGCTTGTGTTCCTTCTACATTTCCTCTCATGTTCGCTCTCTGAAATCTGCCAAAATTTTAACTTGAAACCAAGAAAAGACGAAGGAATGCGGAAACGAAAAGCCCTTGAAAGTGTCTGGGATGTTGAAATTGGAACTCCTTGTTTCATAGGTCTGACGATTGGGTCCTCTGCCTTCTGCACCCCACTTCTGAGTTGTGCCAGTCTTTCCACCGTATGCAGGACTCATTTATGTCCGCTACCCTGCCTCCCACCACCCGGGCGTCACCCTTTCTAAATTCTGAGGGGAAAACAAAAACAAAGTACACAGGCCAATGGCGCATCCAAAAGGACAGGGTGAACCCTGCCTGGGCTGCCTTTAAATTGGCAGGATCCATCTTAAAATTATTTCGGCTGTCATCCTTCTCGGATTCGATCTGTTCACTAACAGAGACTTGTGTTTACCTCAGGGCAACGGCCATGAGGTATGATTGAACTGGCCTGCCCCATCTCAGGATTCAAACTCAGGTCTGTTTATCAACAGTTCACGGGTGTACCATTCAGCCGAACTGGAGATTCAACTGCTTCCCCCCCCCCCTCCGGTATCACTGAACCCAGCCCTACACACCCAACTGGCATTGCACCACAGCCCCGCCGCAGATGGCAGCCAGCTCATGGACTGCGCATTGCACTCAGTGCACCTAGCACGGCCTACTACACGAGCCCAGGTACTCACACTGCACATGGCACTCGACCCACAAAGTGCTGCTCACTGAACATATCACCCAGCCTGCATAGTACCACCCACAGCACATAGCAAAGAGTACACACAGCAGAAGGCCAGCACAGTAGCAGTCACTCCACAAAGTACCAGCCAAGGCACATAGTAGCCTACCTCTACAGAGCATCCTAGCTCTATGTAGCAGAAATGTACCGGCCAGTTCTACATAGCAACTGCATACCATTCACAACAGAGTTCGGCCTTCCCCTCTCACTGGGTTCTGTGCGCCCCTGTGCCCACTTTCTTTTGTGCGGCCAGAGCCGCAGCAGGCTCCTACCTTGGATATACAACAATACAGAGAAGATTAGCATGGCCTCTGCCTGCACAAGGATGACACACATGTATTGTCATATAACTATGAACTAAAAGAGCGCACTTTGCGAAACAAATGGTAAAGATTGAAGAACAAGACAAAGATGAGGGGCCCACTGAAACCATTCATTCTTCTCATTCTTCTTTTAACTCCCCCTTCACTGTGCCTCACACGTACAGGGCTCGCCATGTTGATTATGTGTCCTCATATTTCCTTTACCTTGGGATTGGTTGTGCATGGATACAGATGACCGGCACCTCCAGCTGCCAGCATTGTAACTTCTGACAAGAACCTGACAACTGCCCCTGTGCTGGTATTTATAGCATCAATCCCTTGGCACTTTATTGCATCCCCATCCTGTGGCACACATGCAAGCAGACATGAGTTTCTGATGAGCCAATCCAAAGTATACAGGAAGCCACACTTTTCCAACTTGCCACCTAGATGAGGGTAAAAACCAGAAGCAAACGACATTCTGAGTATTAGCCTGATATATGGACGGGAGTAACAACTGTGCCACACGAGCGCCAAGTGAGGATTGCACGAGTGCCACATGTGTGCCATGTGAGTAGCACTGTGCCAGATGAGCTCTACTCCTCAGAGTCCTCATGATGCCCCTGTGCCAGATTTCATCCCACAAGACAGTGAATGAACAGGAGTACCATTCAGTACCGAGTCTACTGACCATGTGACAGCTGATTATATCAAGGGGGCAATCATGTTCCTCGTTTGTTTCAGAAGTTCATCCGTTCACAATGTCTCTGCCTCTGAGATTGCACATCAACGTCGAGCTTTCCTTTGTGCCTAGAGGACCAAAGATGCACATCAACGTTGTGCCTCGGATTCGCACTCTCCATCTCTCTTCGTGCTTGATTGCTTGTAGTCTCACGTTTTCATATATCTGTGTAACGTTTGTTTATCTGAGCAAGCTCAGGTAAAAAACCGGATAAGTTCTTTCTCAAAGCAGACATGAGCCCATTCATATACCTGTGTCACTTCCTCATAAACAATGCCTGTGCAATATGGCTTCCAATGGAATAGCTGTCTCACGCATTTTCTTGGTCCTACAGCATTTTCTTGGTCCTACTGATCAACATATCCCTTTTCACAGCTTATAATTCAAAAACGAAAAACAAGTCAGGAAACTGAATTGTCGGGCGGGGGTGGAGGAGGGAACATCCAGAAAAAAAAAAAGAGTCAAAAAGTTCCCGTCTTGGCAGAGCTCCCCAGCATCATATTCATATCCCGAGACATGTCCAATTAACCCAGCTCTCAATGGTCACCTCTCACATACTTGGTATGCAAGAGCTCAACAAAGAAACTCAGTTGACAAGACAAATGGGGAGGAGAGCAGAAGATGACGGAGGAGAATGATAATGCTTTCATCAATAACCAAAGATTACACAGTCAGTCTTCTCCCTGTCCAACTCCGGTTTGTTCCTCTCCAATTGCCTGCCTTCACCCCTCACCAACAAGTGTCTTGCGAAACAACGTCCAACATATCAATTGTCTCTTCCCTGGCACTTTCTTCTTGCACGGCGCTGCTTCAAATCAAGCATCAGATCAAACAAACCCTGAAAACACTAATGCAGCATACCTCGGGCAGCAGAAAAGTCATCAACCATGAAAGCTTCACCCAGAGCACTCCAGGTAAGCAAGCACCTCTCCCAACCCAGAACACTCCAGGTAAGCAAGCACCTCTCCCACATGCCAGATCTCACCTCGACCCTTCTTTCCTCACTGTCTCACCTACAGCTTTGGAAGCAGTGGCCTCCCCTATTCTACAGGCGGCCTCATCTAGCTATGCCTTCCTCGACCACCTCTCTCTACTTCTGCCCGGTGCAAGGTAGACTCCTTCAGCGTGTGAACTTCAGCGTCAACTCGCCCAGGCAGAATCCTTCACTGTGTGAGCTCTAGCATCACCTCGCCCAGGCAGAATGAATGCCCAAACTAAGGCAGGGCCTGCTTTCGTAGCGCTGACTATGTCTTGCCTGCATGAGGTTGCCGCGTCAAATGGGTGAGATTTTCTTGATATGTGCGGCCAAGATTTGGTTGCACCTGTGTGCCTGGTCCCAGCGAGTCTAGAGGCTTCTAGAAACTGTACTGAGCCTTTGAATGGTGTGTGTGAGTTTGATCTCTGGGAAAATCTTTGAGTCTTGGTCTACAGTGCACGGGTCGGGGCTGACTATTGACTTTCCCCAGGCCTCGGGTGACTTTTCCAGGCGTGGGCAAAGGGGCTCCTGAGGCCCCCTATCCCAGTCTGCTTGAACTGAGGAACACCTTAGACGACTCCTGCCACTGGACAGTGCCTTTAGACCGCAAAACTTGGATTTCAATTTAGAGACACGACCCTTGTCTCAATCATAACTTTCCTAAGGTATTTAGACTCGTGTTTCGTCGCATATGAAGGTCCAATTTCTGAGCTGGCTTTCCACAGTCAGCCTGTACATTACATCTATTCTCATTGACTCTCATCGACTGTGGCTGTTCTAGAAAAGAAAAGCAGGCAAGAGATTAAAGTCCGTGCAGCATCTTGCAGCTACCCTCCACTAGGTTAAACAAACAAACTTGGCATACTGTCAAAACTGCAGTTCACAAGATGGGAAGACAAGAAAAGCGAGGGTGATAATAAGAGAGGAGAAGTGGGAGAGAGAGGAGGAGGAAGTAACGATAAGGAATCATAGATGACTTAAGACAGTGGAGGAGAGAGTGCGAGAGAGAAGGGCATCAGGGTTGAAACTTGAAACAAGGCACAATGAAGTAAGGGAGAAAAGGAGGACGGAGAGGAAGGGAAAACGTCACCGGGTGATCAGACAGTGGAAAGAGAAGACAGAGGATCTAGGGAGGGAGGAAGGAAGAAGGGGAAACTAAACAGATAAGAAACTGAGAGTGCGGGTGGAAAGGTTACATCCCTCATCACTTACCATACGGGTAAGGAAATCGATAGCAAAATGATGTTCAAAAATTTGAATATTCGGGTGCTTGCTTGCAGCTGACAGCAGCGCTCTTTCTATTTCTCGTCCAGTCATGTCCTTTGCGTGCACGATCCGGTGATGTGAGTGCCCTCCCTCTCGCCCAAGATGTAGCACTCCATCCTCACCCCGATCAAATGCTGCCCCCATTTCAATCAGCTCCAGAACTTGTTCCGGACCCTCACGGCAAACAACCTGCATACAAATATCTCCCCCCCCCTCTCCCACCCCCTCAACCCCAACACACACACCACCCCGACACCATCCCCGCCAGATCACGTTCGACTTAGCATACTCGACATGAACTTCTGGTTTCCTTTCAGGAGGCTGAGCTTTCAGGCAACTGGAAGCTCGAGAACAATCATAAATGAGAAATTACCTGCCATTTTAGTCATCAAAGAGGTAGAGGTTCGACAGAATTTGAACCTACAACCTGGGTCAACCAAGGTTTTCTGCCAGTCGGTGGACCAGCACCCCAACAAAACACTACAAACAGTGGGCCCTCACTGCCTGGTGTAGAACTTCCACTGTCCATGTTTTCATACGGAACTTCAGCGCATGGCCGCAATATTTTTGGGGCATGAACACGGAAAATCTGGGACACTGTTGGTAATCATGGAAAATTGGGTTGCTTATAGGACGGCAAAGTTCGGCCACTGACAAAATCTGGTTGGGGTGAGCCACAACACAGTGTTGCACCCAACCAGTAGAACTTTAGAGACATATATAATAAGAGGCACCACCACAAATTATTGAGAGAAGACCAATTGACCGTTGTTATGTTCTTCACTGAGCTGCCAATAGCAGCAGGAGCTAAATAACCTTTATAGCAGCATTCGTCCTCAAAGAGAGAGGTGCATCAGAGAGGGAGGGTGTAATAGAGGGAGTGAACGAGGAGCCGAAGGAGAGAGAGAGGATTACCTCAACAGCTTCTTCATCGCAGAGGTAAGCACCTGCAACAATTGTATCTCGAATGTGATCCTCCACAGAGTCATTTATGTCAAACACAGCACTTATTCCTCCCTGTTGTCAGATGAAACAAAGGCAAAGGGAGATCAGCATCGAGAAGCTCAGTCAATAATCTGTAGCACAGCGGGACACACCATCGGCGTCGAAGGCATGGGTGGGGGGGGGGGGGGGGGGGGGGGGGGGGGGGGGGGGGGGGGGGGGGGGGGGGGGGGGGGGGGGGGCGTGGAGGGCGTGGAGGGCGCAGAGGGAAGAAGGGGAAGGACGGGAAGGAGGGGAAGGAGGGGAGGTTGGGGATCCAGAACCAGGGTATAATGGCCAGGCATGCAGAACTGCTGTTATAGTCATAGAATGCCTCCCAGAATACTAGCCAGGCATGCTACGATACCGCCCAAAATAGCCCTCAAGCAAGAGGGTGGAGACTCGGGAGAGGTAGTAAAAAAGGCGGAGAAGCAGGGGGCATAGCTGAAATGCCCTAACCTGCTATCAACACATACGATTAAGCAGCTCAGCTGATTATGCCCGATCTCATCCTACAGCACATCACATTCTGGCTAATTTGGGAGGAAAGGAGGGGCTCAAGGGACTAATTTGAGTACAGCTCTTTTTCCTTCAGACTCGGGAAGAGGTACAGCCCGAGAGAGAGAGAGAGAGAGAGAGTGACCTGTGTGCATTGAATATGGTAAAACGATCCTGATAGACTCTGCCAAAAGTCTGTATCTCCTTGTCATTACCGCCCTTCATTACTATCACTCGCTCTCCCTACTCCCTTGCCCTGTCTTTCCTTACGCTCAGTCATTTCCTGCCTGGTCTTTGCGGCTTCATGGGGCAGGCCTCGCTGATGCTATGATCATTCTTAGAGAACATGAGCCTGGTGGGAAAAGTTCATGCTTTCTAAACATGCACATAGCAACAGCGGGCCCGGGCCAATCCTAAACATACTGGCTCACTCGTAGAGAGCGCTTCTATGATCTATCAACTCAGGTCGCTACCATCTTTCTATGAACAAAACAGGTACCCCTTGTGTGATTCAGCTTTCCCCTAACGAACATTTGTTTCCCATGAAATCATCAAAAATTTACAATGCAATTTATGTTGGTTATCAAAAAATTACAATGCAATTTGTGTTGGTTCTTATGTAACGTTTCACTGACGTGATTGTGTTTCCTAGTTCAATATAAAGACGTTCAATGAATGCATGTTATATTCGGGTAAACAAACGTCAAAAAGGTTGAAAAAAACATCAAGCTTTAAAAATCACACCTTTGAAAACACCGTGGGCAATTACTAAACAATGTAAACATTGTATTTGAGAACATTGTAAAACAACATGTCCTTCTTGTACCTACCCTGTGGCTGAATGGCACACACAAGTAACTCTTCATATGCAGAGCATGAGTTTATATTACCTTATAAGTTATAACTTTATATCCTGATGTATAGAAATCATACAAACAATGTTATAACTTTATATCCTGATGGATAGAAATCATACAAACAATGTTAGGAGCATTCCCCTTAAACCATTAGTACCTTTGTTGGTTCGGAAAATAGTGGGCGTCCGACCTTTCAGGAGGCCGAAAATAGCGGGCCTCCGACCTTTCGGAAAATAGCGGGCCTCCGACCTTTCGGAAAATAGCGGGCCTCCGACCTTTCGGAAAATAGCGGGCCTCCGACCTTTCAGGAGGCCGATCAGATTTATCAACGGCAGCCGTTGTCGGGCCCGGCCTCCTAGAAGTTCGGGAGCTGGCAAAAACTTGCCGAAACCGGACACCAAAGGTACTAGTGCTTAAAAAAAAAAAAAAAACACGGGGGCAATCAACCGGGCAATCAATCCTTCCTCCTTTTCCCTTTTAAACCACCACCTCCAATCCTCTATTCCTTGATGCGCAATTTTGCCTGCACCTAAAAATACGACCCAGCGGGGACAAAGGCCTACCGTGAGCCACCAGGCAAAATGGTTGAGTAGGCTGAGCAGCCCCATGTTAATGAGCCGGGGGGCACAGGCTAGCTGGGTGCCACAGTGGTGGTTTGACTTACTAGATCCGTTCTCTGAGCTCTTTCTGGAGAAAACTAAAAAAGAACAGGCAAAGAGCAATGATTACGAACATTCCACAGTACTTGTATGCAGTACAGACTAATAATATTCTTAGCCATATGTAACACATGTTCTGAGATTATCAAACGGAAATTGCTCCCTCAGCTGTGGTTCGACTAGTGCACGGGATGGGCTTATTTAGGGCATGTGTGACCCATCAACGCCCAGTGCGTGGGTCTGTGGACTCGTCGTCAACAGTCAGTATGTCGCACAGTCCAGCCCATCCGCTAGTCAAACCTTGCCGCTGGCTTTACTAAGGGAACATAAACACATTGTGATTGAGAACAAAACACAATTCCCAGGCTCATACTTCATCCGAACAAAGTTCAACAAACACATTCTGATTGGAAAAACAACACAATAGAAGACCCATTCCACCCTTCTATTCCATCAGAAGTTCAGAACCCACTTTCCCTCGTTGACGGAAATGTTCTCCAGTTCCACTATTTTGAGAACACGAACACGTTGTAAATTGTAATTAAAACCGACACAGTATAACACCCACCCAATCCTCGTACTTCATTTTCTAACCCTCTCCGCTTTCCAGTCGAGGTGGAAATTGATCCATCGTTTCAGTGATTGAGGACTACCACATCTGCTTTCCTACCAAAGTGGGAATGGCTCCCCCGTTTCAGTAATAGAATACATTTAATTTGCAATATTTTCAACACATGGAGACATTGGGGAGCAAGAGAACTGAGTTCGAGTGCAGAGACTTATGTAACAGTCGACAGGATGGAGAAGCATAGTGTTTTGAACTTCTTTCCCTTTCTTTACCACAGATCAGGTATTAAGCTGATGAGAGATCCAGAACAGAATACTACATTTAATCTGAAGCATTAGACGGGGAGCATGGGCACAATAGTAGTAAAGTTAGTAAAAAAAGAATACTGATTCATTTTAGGTGATTTGAGATTTTCAGAGATTAAGTACAGCTTTGTTTACAAGCAGGGTCTATGGCTGTCGGGGAGGAGATATATGAGTGATATATTAGAAAGACACCAAAGTGACCAAACTGCTGTCCCCAGAATAGAACCCACACATTGGCATTTGGCTATTGTTTAATTATTTAATTGTTATAAAAAAAGGAGGGGGGGGGGGGGGGGGGGGGG